GAAAAGTTTAAACCAGCCAACGGCCCAGCTAAGCTCAGTGCTGCTAGTGGAGTGTTTCCCCATTTTCTGACAAAAGACAATTTAAACGACGATCCCCCCGTAATGATCGGCTTCAGCCAGGGAATGATCACGTGAGAGTGTCCTTTTGGAATGTGAAAAACATTAGTAAAAATCTTTGGGAATTCCCTAATCCCACTGGTTTTGATATTATTTGATATTATTTGTCTCAAGACGTTTCTCCTGTATGAATGGAAGAGTTTGCCGTGTGGATTCGTGGACTTCTTCCCAGTTTGGTCACCCGCTATTAAAGTTCACACGAAGGGCAGAGGGAGCGGAGGGATACTGATGCTGGTGAGGAAGGTTCATGGGGAACCCGTTCTTTTACACCGCAGTGAAAGCTGGATTTGTGTAAAGTCTGTTATTTCTGGAAATGTGATGATTTTTGGTATCGTATATTTTATTCCGAAAGTGAATATAGAGCCCGCCCTTGAATTACTTGAAAGTTTATTAGACTCCTTTAGCGATTTGTATCCTGGAGTTCCAATTATGATAGGAGATTTTAATTCTCATATCGGCGCTGAGGGTATAATCCCTGATGAGTTTTTAGATGGTGTTAATTTATCTCAATCTAGATTAGTGTATGATTTAGGTATGTGTAATAGAGGTAGGCAATTATTAAACTTTATGGAAGATAAGAATTTATTTAGTTTAAAAGGGCATTCTACGAGTGATATTCCCGGTAAAATAACGTTTTTGGCCTCTACTGGCCGTAGCACTGTTGACTTTGTGTGGGTCAACTCCAATTGCCTCTCTTTAGTTAAGGATTTTGAAGTCTATTTGATCGCAACTCACTCAGATCATTTTCCTATTCATTTAACGCTTGACATTCCTGGGGTTGAGTTTTCGAGCGATAATAATCAACGGTCTGCGGCAAGTAGAGTGGCCTGGATGGAAGATGGAAAAGATGAATTTTTTGGAGCCATGTTATTTTCAGACAAAATTCAATTCGACTTCAGTGCATCCAGCATTGAACAGCACTCATATAATTTGAAAATGGCACTAATCGAGGCGGCTAAGAAAGTTAATATGATGAAAAAGGTCGGGGGGCATCGGCCCTCCACTGAAACTAACAATAAACCCTGGTATGATAGGCAATGTCAGCAATTACAACGCGAGGTTGAGAATGGATTATCTGAACTTAAACAGTCGGGATTCGAGGGAGTCTTTGGGGTTGGTTGCTTGGAATTAAAGAAAAAATACGTGAATCTTGTTAAACTCAAGAAGGAGAAATATGTCGAAGAAATTAAGAATTGTCTGGCTAATGTAAATTATCTCAAGGAATTCTGGCCAGTAGTAAAAAAGTTTAGACCGTTCTCGTTCTCGCCCTCGCAAATTTTGCTGGACGAGTGGTATTAATTTTACCTCAGTATCACGCCCCCAAAATTACCTTTTAACATCCCCTTCCCCCTCTCCACTGATCCCTTATTAGATTCCCCTTTCAAGCATAATGAAATTCTCGAAAATATTTCGAACCTCAAACTGGAAAGCGCGGCAGGGTCAGATGAGATTTCGAACGAATTCCTAAAATTCTTACCTTCTAACTGGCTTCTTTATATCGAGACACACTTCAATAAAATGTTAGAATCTGAAAGAGTTCCTGACTCGTGGGGCTCGGCTGCGTTGACAATGATTTATAAGAAAGGAGACAAGCGTGACCCGCTTAATTATAGAGGAATTGCCTTGTGCAATTGTCTCACCAAGCTGTTCACTCAGATTCTCAGGGACAGAATTCAGTCGTAGGCGGACAGAGAAAAGATCTTGGATGAAAGTCAAGCAAGTTTCAGGCCTGGGAGAGGCTGCTTGGACCAGATTTTTGTTTTATGTAATGCAATTCATCTGCAGCTTCGATTGGGCGATCGAAAAGTCTTTAGTGTGTTTGTCGACTACCGCCGTGCATTTAACTCAGTTCCGCACAACAGGCTCTGGATCAAGCTGCTGAACCTAGGTCTGAGCGCAAAAAATGTCAGAATCCTCAAATCCCTGTATGATTGCGCTGCAATCAGGGTCAAGTCGGGGGGCTCGATGACGGACGAGATACTAGTCTCAGCTGGAGTACTCCAGGGTGAGTCGTTGAGCCCGTTACTGTTTATTCTTTACATTTCTGATCTTGAAAAATATCTAAGAAATCGAGGCTTTAGAGGAATAAGCATTAAGGGGCATGATGACGTTCTCCTCCTTTTCTATGCGGACGAGTTGGTCATCTTGACTGACAGCGAGTCCTCGTTACAGAGAATAGTTTATGCTCATCAAGAATATTGTATTGAAAATGGTCTAACCGTAAACTCGGACAAAACGAAAGTGATGATATTTAGGGAAGGTGGCAGCCTGAGTTCTAAATTAAGATTCACTTATGATGGCTCTGACCTGGAGATTGTTTCCTCGTATATGTACTTGGGTGTACTCTTTAGTAGCTCATCCCTGGGAGGCTCTAGCCGCTCAAAGTGATGTCCGGAAGGCTAAACAAGCTAATGGCTCGGTTTTGTCTATATTGGCTAGCGCAAAATGTGACTCATGGCAGTGCATGATTAAGCTGTTTGAAGCCATCTCCAAGCCAACGCTTTTACATGTCTGTCCAGTCTAGGCTCTCGATTATTTTAACCTGATTCAGACAGTTCAGGCTGCTTTCTTCAAAAGATTGCTTTACCTACCTAAACGCACCTCTAGCTGTGCCTTAAGACTTGAGTTGGGTTTGGTTAGAGTGGAGCACGCAGTTATGAAAATCAAGATTAATTTATCATCACAATACTGCAAGTGTCTGAGGATAGGCTTCCGAAAATTTGTTACCGACAGCGGATGTACTATGCGCTTAATCCGAACTCGTTGAAGGACCCGTGTAAATTCCGATAATTCAATTGGGCAATTCGAATCAAAGAATTCCTTCATCTTGTTGACTGCAAAGAGCTCTAGGGGAATTTCGATGCCGATTGCTGGATTAGAAATAGGTAAACGATGCTAGATAGATATAAGAATATTTTGACAGACAGAGACTTGGTGGAATGACACCTTAAGATCATTGGAACAAAGGGATCAACCAGTATCAGTTTCAAAGAGTGGTGCAACGACATCATTTCTCGACTCGCCGCGCTCATTGCAACATACTCAGCTTCACACGTAGAAAGTGCTACTGTAGTTTGTTTGTGAGTTCGCCAAATGATCAAATCACCAAACAGTCTAATCACAAATCCACAAGTTGTGATTGAATCTTTACAATCAGAGAAACTCGCATCAAAATAACCCTGAATGTCATTAGTCTCACCTGAATATCTCAGACCCAAGCCCGTAGTACCTTTCAAATACCGAAAAATTCTTTTTACCATTTCCCAATCACTTTCTTTAGGATTTACTTGATGTCTGCTTATCACATTGACTGCATATGCAATGTCTCGTCTCGTAGTACCAGCCAAATACAAAAGGCTACCTAGAGCCTCTCTGTAAGGGATGTTTGCTTTTGTTTCTGTCCTTTCCAAAGTCCCATTATGATATTCTGTTTCTCTTAATTTTCTCTCATTATTAGCTACTTGAGAAGTATTCATTGGTGTACTTTGTGGATGTGCTTTATCAAAGCCAAACCTACTTAATATCTTTTGAATATATTTTTCCTGATTTAATTTAGCAATCTGATTTTCTCTGTCTCGCCTAATAGTCATGCTTAAGAATTCCTTGGGTTCTCCCAGGACTGTCATTTCAAATTCGCTACATAAATTATTCTTTACTTCAGGCAATTTATCGTTATCATTACTCGCCAATAACATATCATCTACATAAAGTATCAGAAGCAAGAACTTGTCTTCATCTCGCCAAGTGAATAAACAAGGTTCTAAATCCGAGTTCTGCAGACCCATACTCAAAGCTACTTCAGTGAATTTTACATTCCACCGTTTGGGACTGATACGAAGACCATAAAGTGCTTTCTCCAATTTGCACACATTTTCTTACCTATCTTTGTCAGTATGATTAGTTCCTTCTGGAATTTCCATGTAAATTTCCTCATCTATCACCCCATTGAGGAAAGCAGTTTTAACATCTAGCTGACACACCTCTAGATTATATTTGTTTATAATTGATATAACTATTCTCACTAAAGGTAAACGAGCTACTGGAGCATAAGTTTCCCTTAATTCTTATCCTTGAAACCTCTGATTACTAGCCTCGCCTTGAATCTTATTTTTCCATTTGCCTCATTTTTACACTTAAAAACCCATTTTGAATCAATGACATTTAATCTTTTTCCATTCATCATACTTAGAGGTCTTTTAACAATTTTCCACACTTGATTTCTTTCTAATGAGTTCAATTCTTCATCAACCGCATTGAATCAAGAATCTTTATTATTTATAGCGCAGCTACTTATTTATCGTTCAAATTATTTCACTATATTGTATTCGCACCGGCTTATCAGCCGAATACCTGACTACGTCACCTCGTGACGATTCGTCATATTTCGGGCACCCTCGATCGGATGATCTAATTGGCTATATCGTCGCGAGAGACAGATTCGTCATAGCTCTCAAGGTGTAAACATCGACACATTCGCTTTGAATAAATTCCATTCGATTTCTACCGTTATAACGCGTGTTATAATTTCATCAACCCGTCCAACATTCCCGAGTATCCCACAAGTGGTGACCCCGACGTGATCCTTTTAACGTGATCAATAAAATTATCGTTTTAACGTGTTCAGAGCGAAATAGTTGCCGTTAAAATTAAAGTAATTTTCGATCGCGTGGTTTTCGTGGATCATTCGAGAAGCGTTGGATTTTTCGACACGTGCTCGGTAGCGTTATATCGTTCAACGCGCTTGTGTTACCGCGTGTGATATTTTGTGCATCGTGGTGCATCGCTGAGCACCCAGAGACGTTGTGCTGCACCGTGAAAATTATCACGAACAATTTCGCCGTGATTAGTGCACTTTTAGACGATTTTAGTGATTTTTCAGCAAAATGCCTGACGAGCCCGACACAACACAGGCATTGAGACACCTCGTGGTTCGACCGGCACCATTTTCTGCCGAACGTCCGGAGCTTTGGTTTGCTCAACTCGAAGGGCAATTTCACCTCTCAGGTATCGAATATGAACTCGACAAATTCCACATGGCTGCCGTCCACCTCGACACGCATGCCGCAGCTGAGGTTCAGGACATCATACTGCATCCACCTGCTCAAACTCCATATAAGGCATTAAGAGAAGCCCTCGTGGAGAGACTCACGGCTTCACAGGAGGCAAGACTACACCAACTCCTGGACAAAGAGGTTCTCGGTGATCGTAAGCCCTCACAATTTTTAAGACATTTAAAATCTCTTGTCGANAAGGTTCTCGATGATCGTAAGCCCTCACAATTTTTGAGACATTTAAAATCTCTTGTCGACAATATTCCACAAAATATTCTGAAAACAAAATGGCAGTCACGCTTGCCAGCAAATACTCAATCAATTTTAGCGACGCAAGCAGATTGCACACTGGACAAAATGGCGACATTGGCCGACAAATTAATGGAAATATCGTCTCCACCAATTATTAACGCCATTTCTCCAGGTGCTGATCCAGCCGTTGCCACCCTGGAACGGAGATTTTCGCGTCTTGAATTTTGCATTTCTGAACTAGCGAACGCAATAAAAAACAAACGCTCCCGCTCTCACTCACGTTCCAAGTCTCGTTCAAGGCCTCATTCAAGGTCATGCAGTCAAAGATACGAAAAATGCTGGTATCGTTTCAAATTTGGTGAACATGCCACTCGTTGCAGGCCTCCTTGTTCAATGTCGACGGGAAACGAACCGTCGGATCGTTAGCGGCGGTAAACGATCCAATCTTCCGCTCACACCGCCTATTCGTGTCGGAAATTAATACCAAAGTCAAATATTTAATCGATACCGGCGCGGATTTGTGCGTATATCCACGAACGCTTTTCCCTGGAAAAAATAAGGCAACGGAGTACATGTTATACGCAGCAAATGCCACACGGATACATACATACGGCTGTACTGTCCTCTCGCCCAATTTCGGCCTCAGAAGGGATTTTTCCTGGCGTTTCACTATTGCGGATGTCGAAAAGCCAATTATCGGCGCAGATTTTCTCGCGCATTTTGGACTTTTACCTGATTTAAAGAACAATTGTCTATTAGATTCAGCAACCGGTTTATCGATGCGATGTATAGCGTCATTATCGAATATCGGATGGAAATTTTCAATTGACAAAACACACAACGGTCCATCATATCGCAACAACGCCCGGACCTCCTATATCGAGTAAAGCTCGTCGTCTCGCCCCAGACAAATTAACGATCGCACAACAGGAATTTCAGAAAATGATGAAGCTAGGTATCGCTCGTCGTTCAAAGAGCCCCTGGTCTTCACCGCTACACCTGGTGCCCAAGAAATCTGGCGATTGGCGACCCTGTGGAGATTATCGCAGACTTAACGCTCGTACGATACCTGATCGATATCCAGTTCGCGTACTAGAAGATTTTACCGCCAATCTCGCAGGCAAAAAGATATTTTCGACCGTCGATCTCGCTCGTGCGTTCAATCAGATTCCTGTCGCACCGGATGACATCTGCAAAACAGCAATAATTACGCCTTTCGGTTTATTCGAATTTCCATTCATGACGTTTGGACTTCGAAATGCTGCGCAGACATTTCAGCGATTTATCGATGAAGTAACACGAGACCTAGATTTCGTTTTTCCGTATATCGACGACATCTTAGTTGCCTCTAAAGACCCCGAAGAACATAAAAAACACCTTCGTCTCCTATTTCAACGCTTGGCAGAGTATGGAGTTGTCATCAATACCGCCAAATGCCATTTCGGAGAATCGGAAGTCGACTTTCTCGGTTATCGCGTAACGGCGGAAGGAATTCGTCCGCTTCCCGAAAAAGTTGAAGCTATCGTCAACTTTCCTCGACCGGAGAAAATTAAGAAGTTACGTGAATTTCTCGGCATGATTAACTTTTATCGGAAATTTGTTAAAGGTGCTGCAACAACACAGGCACCCCTTCACGAATTTCTTCAAGGTTCTAACGTAAAAGGGTCTCATCCAGTTCCATGGACTACAGAAGGAGAAGCCGCCTTCAATGCCTCTAAGAAACAACTGCAAGATGCAACGCTGTTAGTGTACCCAGATACGTCACTACCGTGGGCTGTTTTTACCGACGCGTCCGAATTTGCTATCGGCGCCGTTCTTCAACAGCGCAGAGGTACCGTCTGGGAGCCGCTTGCCTTCTTCAGTAAGAAGCTTCAACCTTCCCTCAGGAAGCGATGCCCATATGACAGAGAGCTTCACGCAATTTATGAAGCAGTTCGTAAGTTCAGGGATATTTTTGAAGGTCGTCGCGTGACCATTTATACTGATCATAAACCGCTGCTGCATGCTTTCAAACAAAACCCTGATAAAGCAAATCCTTGGCAGTTCCATCGCCTTGATTTTATCGGTCAGTTTTCAACAGATATTCAGCATGTCGCAGGTAAAGATAACGTTGTTGCCGACGCCTTATCGAGAATCGAAGTCATATCCATAGCAATCTCGACGGCCGAACTAGCACAGGCACAAGCNTATCGAAGGCATATCCACAGCAATCTCGACGGCCAAACTAGCACAGGCACAAGCAGCAGATGCCCAACTCCAAGAACGTCTGCAAGACCCGAATGGCGTCCTTCAACTACGACCTATCAACATGCCANCACGTGGCATCGCCGATTCAAGACTTTCCCGGGGGAAGAACAAGACGCTTCGAACACATTCATGTCGACATCATCGGACCATATGTACCGTCCAGAGGTTACCGTTATTGCCTGACAATAATCGACAGATTTTCACGTTTCCCGGAAGCATTCCCGATTTCCGACATTACCGCTGAGACTGTTGCCGGTGTGCTCTACGCAAACTGGATTTGTCGTTATGGCGTTCCGCTTCGGATCACGACAGATCAAGGGACACAATTCGAGAGCCAACTCTTCAACGCTCTCGCTCGACGTACAGGCAGCAGATACATTCGCACGACGGCGTTTCACCCGCAAGCTAACAGCATGGTGGAACGTCTACATCGCCAAATCAAAGCAGCAATACGGTGTCACGAGAGTCCTCATTGGGTAGATACCCTCGCCACCGTGCTTTTTGGAATTCGTTCAGCGTGGAAAGACGATCTTAACGCCACATCTGCCGATATCGTATTTGGAGAGCCATTTCGATTACCAGGAGAATTTCTCGCTCCTGCTCCGAACAATGGCCTACCGGCAGTAACGATTGCCGACAGACTCAGGAACTACTTCGCTGAGCTCGCTCCAGTTCCCGGCACACGACACGGCCAACGTAAGGTATTCGTATTTAAAGAACTCGCCTCATATTCGCACGTTTTTGTTCGTTTAGATGCTGCTCATCATACATTTACGCCACCGTACGAAGGACCACATCGTGTCATATCGCGACACGAGAAGCATTTCGTCGTCTGGATCAATGGTCAAGAAACTGTCGTATCCATTGACCGTCTGAAGCCAGTATTTTCCATTGCCGAAGACGAAGCAGCCGACGCTGACTTACCGGATGACGACAACGATTCAGACGACACTCTATTACAGTCGTCAGAACAATCGACCCCTGGTACGACACCAGATGCCTCACCGCAACCTGGACCATCTAGACGCAGATCATCATCTTGGGCTCCATCGAGTGACGCAAGATCATCTTTGGACCCAACTCCTCGACCAGTACGAAAACGCGTCAGGTTCAGTCAATAAACTCACTCAATATTCAATTTTCTTTTCAAATCACGTATATCGTTTTTAGTGCCATTTTAACGCGTATACATTGCCTATATCGTATATATTGTACATAGCTAACTCCCTCTTTTTTTTCGACACAGAAGGGGAGTATTGTAGCGAAGCTACTTATTTATCGTTCGAATTATTTCACGATATTCTATTCGCACCGGCTTAGCAGCCGAATACCTGACTACGTCACCTCGTGATGATTCGTCATATTTCGGGCACCCTCGATCGGATGATCTAATTGGCTATATCGTCGCGAGAGACAGATTCGTCATAGCTCTCAAGGTGTAAACATCGACACATTCGCTGTGAATAAATTCCATTCGATTTCTACCGTTATAACGCGTGTTATAATTTCATCAATCCGTCCAACATTGCCGAGTATCCCACATTTTTTACTATTTATAGCTTCCCGATAATTTGAGGGATCTTCATTTATGCTTGATAAAAGTGCATGATACACTTCATCTTCCTTTTGTGCTAAATCTATCTCGCCTATATTACTGATAACACTAGTGAAGAAAACATTTCCTTTCACGTCCTCATCAATTTCCAACTCTGAAAAGCTATTATCATTTATTGTTTTATCTTTTATATCAACTGTCTCCACTTTCTTGGTAATGTTTTGTTCTGAAACTTCTTTCTTTGGTCTACCTCTTTTGCGTTTTATCTCTTCCTCCGGTTTTGAAGAATCCTCGGCCTCACCTCGATTCTTGTCGAACTCAACAAACCATTCATCATTATTCTCCATTTCTCCATAGTCTGGAAAATCTTTGATACCGTTTCCCATGTATTTATCCCCATACACTAATTTTTCATTGAATTTAACATAATATTTTCCTAGCTCTGGCTTTAAGAGTTGATACCCTGTTGGAGTATATCCCACCAAGGCCATACCCACACCTCGAGGTCCAAACTTTGGGCCAGCATTTCTAGCAATTTTTACATAACTTAGACTACCGAATCTTTTGATTTGATTAACATCAAAGCTGTGATCAGGTGCGAATCTTTCTAACGGAGTTATCATATCGTTCGATTTATGTGGAGTCCTATTGTAAGCGTAAACTGCAGCAGTTAAGCCCAGATCCTACATGCCCTTTGGCAGTCTCGAGTCAAACATATAACATCGCACCTTTTTCTGGATAGTTTGATTACATCTCTCAGCGACACCATTGTGTTCAGGTGTATCAGGGGAAGCTAACTGTNCGTTCGATTTATGTGGAGTCCTATTGTAAGCGTAAACTGCAGCAGTTAAGCCCAGATCCTACATGCCCTTTGGCAGTCTCGAGTCAAACATATAACATCGCACCTTTTTCTGGATAGTTTGATTACATCTCTCAGCGACACCATTGTGTTCAGGTGTATCAGGGGAAGCTAACTGTAATTCCACCCCTAGACCTTTAAGAAATTCAACTGTATGCCCGCCTGTATACTCTGTTCCCTGATCTGATCTAAGATAACACACTTTCGCGTCATAACCCAGTAAATTACGCGCACTTCTAATGAACATCTCAAGAGAACGTCCTGTATCACTTTTCGCCTTCATTGGATAAGCCATAGCAAATCTTGAGAAGTCATTGATGAACACAGAAATAAATCTGTATCCCTTAGGATGAGTAATTGGAGTAATAGGCCCCATCACATCTGAGTGAACTATTTGCAATGGTGCTGTTGCTCGCCTGCGTACCGATGGGAATGATAATTTATTGAATTAGACGTTAAGCACACCTCACAATCTCTAATGAATTCATCATCAAATTTGACTGCATTTAATTCTTTATTATCTGGGAATTTCTTTTGTAATGCCTTGAGGTAACTCGTTGAGGCATGTCCAAATCTACAATGCCACAACATGACATTCTGATTCTTCAAATAGCTTTCTTTATCAATTGAAAGTTTTGGAAAAACTTCTACCGAATCATCCCATGGTAATTCATCAACATCTTGCAATTTCGTGTCCCAAATGATGTAATCAAAATTTGATTGTTCATAGGGAATCTTTTCTTTAGTAATTATTTTCTCTTTTATTAAGTTTTCACTCGCTTTTTCATTATGCTTTTCTTCCTTTGCCTTTTCTTCAATTTTATTTTCTTCCTCATTACTCTTATCAATTTTGTCTGTTTTTTCACCTGTTTCATTCTGTAAATTTCCTGTGACACTTCTGGTAAGATATCTTCTCACCTCATTCTCACCCCCAGTGACATCAGCAACATTTACTACTACTCGCCTGTTTATTTGCTTGAAAGAATTCTCACTGATAGAGTTTGACTTTACTATTTCTAAATCGATTATCCAGTAAGGTTTTCTGTAAATTCCCGAGATGAAAAGTTCATTCGACAATGGATCAAATATATCAATTTTCTTGTCATCTAAGTAGATTGCTAATCCCATTTCGGCAAATTTTCTTAATGATAGTAGATTTGCTTTAAGAGCTTCTGCAAAAATAACTTTCTCAATTTCTAGTAATTTACCACTCGCCAGTTCAATTTCTATTTTTCCTGCTCCCTCCATTTTTAAGTCCGCTGACTCATTTTTATTCGCACACCCAATTACTCGACAATCTAATTCATTGAATGTTTTAAATATAATCCTAGAGTTTGTTAAATGCTCGGTCGCGCCTGAATCTGCCAGAAAGTCTGTCAGAAACTTATTTCCATTTGTTTGTTGACTATGTGCATAAAAGATCTCAGTACTTGATTGATCATAATTTTCTTTTTCCTTACCTTGATTGGAGTGAGTTTTCTCTGTAGGTTTGTCGGATTTGGATTTCTTGTTTGATTTGTGAGATGACTTAAACCCGTGTTTGTTCTCGCCTCTTTTATAAGAGAACCGACTCTTATCGAATCTTCCTCTTTTACTTGGACCACGTGTTTCACCTCTCATTGGTCTTTTCGTTCCTCTATCGCTACTTCTATATTGATTTTGATAATTGTTTCGATAATTAATTTTTGAATTGGAATTGTAACTTGCAATCTGTTTAGAGTATCCTGAGCCACTTGGTGTATTGTCATTGTGGGGTATATTTGGGCAATCTCTCGCCTTATGATTCCCAAACTGGTTGCACCTGTAGCACAAGTATCCTTTCCCTTTATTGGGACAGTCTGGTCCCTTGTGTCCATATGCCTGATAAGCAAAACACCTTGGCCACTTGTGCTGTGCAAAATTAGCAGTTTTAATATCAGAATCTGAGAGCTCACTTTTCATAGTAGCATCTTCTTCTAATATCGCAATTTTCAATTCGCCAAAAGTCAAGCCCACAACTATAGCTTTCCTTGTTACTTTTTCAATGATTTTAATGTTGGGGAAAGCTTTTATTACTGCATTGTAGAATGCATCTTCCTTTTCGCTTTCACTCAAAGAAATGGTGTCAGGAGCATTTTCATAAGGTGCAATTTTCTCATCAAACACATCGTTAAACTCGCCAGCTGTCATTTTAGCAGGATTGTATCTCATATTATAGAGATCTTGTCTCACCGAGTGTGAAGTTATATTAAACTCAGCCATTTTTAATTCTTTCAGTTTCTTCAATATTTCTTTTGGATCTTGTAATTTGACAACTGTAGGGTGATAACTTCTCCAAATGATTGATCAGAATTTCTCTAACTTTGTGCTTCTGTTCAACAAGAGTTTCCTCGTTCACAGTAACCAGAATTCTCTCATCAATGATGTGTAAAAGTTTATTAGTTTTAATTTCTGACGAGAAATAATCATAGAAATGTTCATACTTCATTTTACTGTCCATTTTGTAATCTCTTTTGAAACTCATTCCCTTGTCAAGCAATTCAATTTGTAACTTATTGGTTACCTCGCCAGCTAATTGACTCAAAGTATTTAGATTGTTTACTTGACTTGACTTTGTCTGATTAATTTCATTGATCTGTTTATTGACTATTGAACTAATTTGAATTTCTTGATTTGGATGCTCATCTGACATCACTCCTCCATTTTTGTCATTGTGCTTTTTGTCCAAGGCACTCAAGAGCTCCTGTACTTCCCTTTTGTCTTGTGCTCTCGCCTCAGCATACAGTCTCA